AACAGGAGGCCAAGTGACGTTTCCAGGCTATCTGTATTAAAGCACAAATCTTATCTCATACTAACACCAAGTCACAGAAAATTTCTTCTGCTGAAAATTGTTACAGAGTTCTTGTAGATTTTCCAAAGTGGTAGGGTTTAAATAGATGACCGGTTACTCTCACACAAATACCTTGCCACTACACTACCCAGCCAGCACCTTTCTCCCACTGTTTAATTAGCAAGAACACACCAATTTCCATTTTAGTACGTCAAAGAAGACAGCACATCTGTGAGAGGCGCAGATTAAGATAAGGTCTATTTCACCTACATCAGAGGACAGGGAGTAACTAATGTAGGTTAACAGAGCAATCTTTTAAAAAAATCTCCAAGCACACTGACAAGAAAATGACTTTTGCCTGAGGCAAGCATGTGGTTTGTGGGATCTCCCCAGTCACTTCTGCACCTCTCCATATTTACCTGTGAAAAGTATCTCCTTCATCTGAACAGCTGTATGCAACAGGAGGCACATCAAACCAGTGCAGAAAGGCAATGTGGATTTGGTGAGTACTGTATCTATTTTAGCACCACATAAATTCACAAAGTAGGTCTTGATCTAACCTGGGCATATGCTGGTTTCTACAGGCTCAAAATCAGGCACAAGAGCCACAGGGCAGAAATCCCGCTGGCAGGGAAAGGTAGAGCATGAAGCACAGAAACTGCCAAGCAGAAGGCACCAAAGGATACATCATCGTCACTTCAAATGTGTCAAAAAGTGTTGTAATAAAATTCTAAATAATATTTATTTTTGTTTATTGTAAAAGGCTTCTATGGAATCAAATATTACTGAGAAAATTATTAATTATTTAGTAGGTTGGTGTGATTTTAGCAGAATCAAACTAACATTGTGGTAAACATCAGATAAGCACTAAGCACCTTTCCTTGCCTGGTTTTCAAGGATTTGCAACGATCACTTCAGAAAACTCCTTTATGTAGCTGTCCACCATGGTTGTTTTTCAGACTTTCCCTCTACATGCAAAATAAACTGAAGAAGCCAGGATGGAAGAGCAATGATTTTTCTTTTCAGTGTTTTTGTTTGTTTGTTTGTTTGTTTTGGAGACAAGAATTGTAAACCCAGCCGGGAGTGGGCCGTATTCATTCCAGTTCCCACGAGACTCCTCGCACAGAGCCACACAGCCGGTGCATCTTTCCTGGAAAGCTCCTTCAGGATCTGTTGTGCCCTTAGAGGGGCCCAGGGCCAGGCAGGTGACGTGGCGGCCTCTGGCAGCCTGCTGCTTCACAACACTCTCCTGCCAACGTTGTCAAAATGCTATCATTTAGCACAGCTTGCTTCAAAGAGCTATCCATGAGAACGCATTGCTCTGAAGTCTGCCACCAGCGGTTGCTAAGATTCAGAGGGCAAATGGAGCTCAGGCACCAAACCGCATCACTGCTAATTCCTTGACAGGAAATGTTGGGTATCCAGCACCTGTACAGCCGCGTACTAACCCCTGGAATTGGGTGCCCATGCCCAGGGACTGGCAGCAGGGCCTCTGTGAGGAGAAGCTGGGGCTACCCCAGGCCCACCGCAGTGAGTTCTGGAAGGTTCCAGAGGTCTCCATAGTGCTGCTGCAGCTGAGCCAAGAATGCCCAGGGAAAGACAGAGCTGGCATCTGACTGGATTCCAGCACCCTCACACACACCAAATGCTGTTACACCACACATCTTGCCCCAGCAGTAAGAAAAAATGGCAAAATCCAGATTCAAAGGGCTCTGCTTCAGTGCCTGTGAGTACTGCTAAATAAATAATTCAGCTATCAAACACCTTTAGCATACACGCTCACCTAGAATTATTTGCACAACTCTGAACTGCTTGGGTGCTAGTCAAATGCTCTTAAACACAGAAATCAATCCGCTACTTTCATTTTTGAAAATTCTTGAGAGATCATTTTATACAGTATTTAATAAACTATACCTAAGACACAATAATATGCCATTCCTATCTTTTATGTTGTATGACACCATTTTTTGTGTGCATGCAGTATTTAATTTTATTTCTTCATTCAAAGTAGTAATTGATATTATACATTACTATAACAGACCAAATGTCACCCTTTTTCCTTCATGCAAATGAAGATTTGACATTGATAATGAAGAAGAATGCATAATAATAACAATAACCATACTGGCCTATACTTAGCGATACAGGGAATACCTCACATCTGCACAGAATTGTATGGGCTGTGATAAAGTTCCCATCTATACAGACTATTTTCAACCAGCTGGAATCCAAAGAGATAGAAGGACGTATTTTGGAAAGACATGAAGACACGGCAGGCCTTTAAACCGCACAATTACCTGAATAAAAGAGGTGGAACCGGGGATTCCAATTTCAGTCTTGTAGCAAGATCCCAAGACATGAACGAGGAAAGCTGTGCAAAGCAGAATTTACCTCTCAAACTGTTCTAAGCTCATTGAATCCCCAACGGGACAGAAACCAGGAAAAGGCAGTTAGGTATTTTTGGTGTTTCTAGGATGGCAATACTGCCTTCAGCTACAGATTCATACCAACACAGAGATTGTCAAACCTTTTGGGCTTTGATTTTTCAGAGATGATCTCACAGCTCTACTGAAGTACATTCCTGTGCTGTGGGTGTTGTGGTTGACACAGTGAAATTGCATTTGCATCCAAACCATCTACATTTAAAGTAGTTTTTGTTCCTCTACTTCTCTAGGATGTGTCTCCACACAAGAGCAGTTCCAAGCATAAAGTTTGGTTTGGATGTCTAGAGCAGAGAGCCTCCCTGAACACTAGGATTCAAGACTGCTAGTATTTGCCTAATGTATCTTGATAAAATGTTATAGTAGATTCAGATTCAAGTGTTTGTAAAAATCTATTTACCTTTGTGTTGGCCCATTATTATTTCAAGGCCCAGTCCACTCACTTGTTTTTGATGTTAGAGTTCAGACACCAAAATTACTGATTACAGTTTCTGATTTTTCAGACAGTGTTGCATTTTTTTAAAGCAATTTTAATTTTAAAATGCAATGTATCATTTATGTAGAACTGGCAACAGCATGAATGTAAAGCTAAAAGAAAATGATCAGACCACATAAAGTTAATAATGTGGTACTAGCAAGAACATTTAATTGATTTACAGTGCAGCTCAATATATAAGCACTGTACTATGAGTAAAGCTATAAGGTAGCCCATTAGTTCTTAGTGGGCCTCCTCAAGAGCTCCATTCACAATCCTATTAATTAGATTGGGTCCTTCAGTGTCTACCACTCCTATTTAAATCACTTGTTTCCCATTATGCTGTGTACTATGCACTGCAAGCCCATAAAATCAGGTATTAATATTTCTATCAGTGAGGCTTCTGGAAGTCAACTTTAATTATCATAGGTGAAATCTTCCTAATCCTTGCAAACAAAAATGATTAAAACACAATGAAGTAGTGACTCAAGGAGGGATAGTGTTAAACACTGGTATATGTTATGTCCAAATATCATAAAGTTTATTCCTCTCAGTAGGAAAGAACATTTGATCTATATATTTCTTTTAAATGCCAGAAAACGTGACATATTTTTTAAAGTAAATTCAGATACTGCCTTGATAAATTTAAGAGCCTTTCAAGTTCTTTAAATACTGCATTTTTCATCATATACCTTCTAGACTTTGTGATCCAGTTCATGTGAAAAATAAGACAGACTATATATATGGCTAAAACTGATGGCAATATTTGCTAAATGTGCCACATGCACAAAATAATTATATAAAATTACATTTAATTATTTTTAACAGTTAGCTATTCACTCAAATTAAATACTTCAATATAAAATGAATGATTACATTATTTAATGTCAGGCTCCTCACTTATATTTGAGAATGGCTTTAATTTGCAAAGTAATATTCACAGATTATCAAACTCAGCTTCAACAAATAAAATAAAGCAAACAAGATAGGCTTAAACAATAATAAAACAATTACAAATCAGATGCTGTCTACATGCCTGTGGAATATAAACAGCTGTTTCCTGTTCTTTTCTTTTTCTTTTTTTTTTTTTTTAACATGCTACAATTAAATGTCCTTAACAATTTGACAAAATAATTTTATAACAATTTAAAATATTGCCTGTAAATAAATCTGACAAGCAATGAAGAAAAGTGTTCTTGGTACCATTTCAAATCATACTTGTTTTTCCACACAAACAACAAAATTTGGAATTTCAGTTTTAAACATTATCGTCTATGATTTGTGATACCTAAAAGAATACGAGAGAACAGCAATCTTCCAGGCTGACACCCAGCTCCAGCTGAGGTTCACATATATTTCACTTACATTCACTTGCCTGTGGTTTAGCTCTGCTACTTGTTTTGATTTGAGAACACCACCATAATCCAAAATAACAAAATCCCCTTTCACCAACCATGCTAACTAAAAATATCAAAAATCAACACCATGGAATCCAATGCCTCTCATACACACACATAGCCTGTTCAGGGGATCCAACCTCACAAATTATCTATCAGATTGGGATTTAGAAAAAAGATTAACAAGTGATGCTGACAGTAAGAACTTTCATATTACATTATATAGAATACAAAAACATAAACAAACATCACCAAAGCCTTATATTATGGTATAAATCCTCCAATGGACAGTATTTAAATTTAAAACAAAGCAAATCTGCACTGGCAATTTATCCCAGGTAGGTATTAGTACACTTCTTGTGCTGCCTTGTGAAACAGATGGTGCTTGTTGCTCTTGGGTCAAGAACGTTGCCTCTCCGGTACCATTGTTTTAATTGTCTCCCATCTTATACTGTTTAAATCCATCTTACTGGGACATTGTATGCAACAGAGAGAGAAATGAAATAATTTAATTTCATCACTTAACACAGAATTTTTATCGCTTAAATGAAAACAGGATTTCAATTACAGTGAAATCCACAATTTGTTGGGTCAGCACCATGCTAAAGACAACTAAATCTTGCACATGAGAAGGAGGAAAATGCTTACCGTATTATCTCTGAATTATAGGAGAAGCATTGCTTCAACTCATTGCTGGGCAGCATTTAGGAAATCCTAAAAAGATACAAATTGAAAGAGATAAAAAGCTATATCCTGCTATGAAGTTTAATGTGAAATTCACACAGATGCCAACAGAGAGCTCTCTGTCACAAAATGGCAGGTTTGAAGCCAAATGCAGAAGTGTTAATGATACCTGGAAGATTATGTCAGCTTTTGAGATTCTAAAATTAAAGAACCTCACAGTAGGGGCTACTATGAAAAGTTTGGTTACATTTGCAAATGATGTATATTGAAGATGTAAATTAAGGTGTACCTTAATCTACTATCCCTCTTAAAGTCAATGAAAATCAATCTGTTGAAAAAAGTCTTACAGTTTCTCTCCAGCTATAGCATTATTAAGCAAAGCACCAAGCAGGAATAGAAAATAAAAAATACATCCTAGTAGCTGGCAAATCTCCTTTACACTGTATACTAGTGCCACAGCTTCGTATGGGTACATATTTTGCTGTACCCATATTTTCACATTTAACTGTAGTTCTTTTGCACTATCTTTGAAAATCTCTGGTACTCTTGGAACACATAAAGTTATTAATTGGGTTGTCCAGTCAGGATTGAGTCTGAAGGGTTACTCTGTATTTCCATATGCTATGTCTTATATCAGAAGTATGCAGTGCTCTATTTCTGTAATTGCGTTGTTCAGGAACACTGAAGAACTGTTGGATTGAACGTGTATCTCTTTACAGTACGTCAGTCAAGGCCTCTAAATATAACATTAAACTTCAGCAGCATTCTCGCAGGGCAGTACTTCTTAGTAAGCACTTATGGATGGATTTGGGAGGCTGTAACTGCAGTGAAGAGCCAAGGCTACTCATACTATTGCTGTGACAACAAAGAAGGTCTAGGACTGCTTACCCCAGCTGCTGTGCCTTTTTAGGAGGCAGCATGAGCTGTTTTAGAGCTTCAAGAAAAAGGCATAGACCTTGAATTAGTTTACATAATCATTCTGATACTGCTGAAATCTATATAACACTGATGAGATATTTCATTTATTCCATTCGGGTGGAAGAATCTTGAAGTCTGGAGTGGTTTGTATGATTTCATATGCTTCCCACTGTCACCTTTCACCTTCAGCAAAATCATTTACTGTCTTTTACTCTACTAGTTTATTAATTTGATCAAGGGCAAAGGATATGTAGCGTGTTCCACCAGTTAATAAAGTTTATAAAGCACTAGGGGATCTACTTGGATGAAAATCATCATAGAAATGCAAGACTTAATCAGACCAAAACCAGCCTCTAATGCCAGAGAGATGTAAAACTCATTTAGAAATTAGAAAGGGTGGCTGAGCAAGCAGCCAAAATTGAAAAATTGCATTATGAGACGTAGGTACAAAGGCATTTAACTTAAGTTAAAGTTAGTCTTTTAAGGTTTAAAAAGAAAATACTGCGAAATGCACCTGACTTGGGTAGATGGATGGATACTCGGAAGCAATGGATGTATTCTGCTGATCATAAGAATTTACAAATGGGCAAATGGGAGATATGTCACATTCGCCCAGAAGATTTGATACAATGAAAAATATTTAAACATTGGATATTTTAAACTCTATTTAAATTTATTTAACCTCTTTAAACTCTTTAAATTTATTTAAACTCTATTTATATTTAAATTCTAACATTACAAGGTAGGAATTACAATAGAAGTGACAAAAATAGAGACCTTTAAAAGAGCACTGTGTAATCCAGTGATCATTGAAAGAGTAACCTACAAGCCAGTCAGAGCAGATGCACTAGATGCATGGTTGTATGATTGGAACAGGTCTGGACTACTAGACATGCGTAGAAAGCAACTTAGTAGAAACATATCCATATGTATAACATCATTTTCTTAATGTCAATAAAGTATTAACATTCAAAAGGAGCATACAAATAAAACACTAACTTTACTGCAGTTGGTAAATTCCCTGGCTTGAGTTTTTGGTAAACAAATTGGGTAATGGAACAAGTGTTATTACAGTGCCATCTAGTGCAGACAAGGCATTTGAGTGAAGATGGCTGATGGGAGAAATGTCTGCAGTCACACCAACATCACCACTTGCCCCAGGAAGGGGAAGCCACTGCTCTGGGAGCTAGAGAGGCCATCCTGCTTTTTGCTCAGATTTAGGGGATCCAGCTCAGAGAGCAATTAGCAAAGTATTTCTATTATTGTATTTGGGTGAATTGTTGCTCTGAGGATCAGCATCATGCATTTCGCATTTTCAAGTATCTAGATTATGCGCTGGACTACCCTTCTTCATTACAGTCATTTGCTCCTCCCTCAGTCACACAACAGAAAAGAGCTTTGTGCTGACAAACAAAAAGTGTTCTGAACATGAGAAAAATAAAAGGCTGATTTGCCTGAGTGAGAAAAAGCTATGGTCAGTTTAACAAATGATAGTCAGCAAAATGCTCGCAACAATTCCCAGTTCATACATGGTGGTACTTGGGCTCTTTCCAGCATTGTACTGGCCGGCAGCATTTTGAGATGTGATTGCAATTGTTCACAGATAGAGGAAGCCCGTTTCTCTCCTGGTATTTCAAAGACTGTCAGGGTGGTTGATGCATCATGTGACAGACTTTAGAATCTACCACACAACGCTCACAGTTAACCTCACATTGTGAGATACAGTGGTTAACTGCCAGTGTTACAAGGTAGATTCTAAAGCCTATTCTAGGCTTGTTTCAGGCTCTGCTCAAACTGTCTGACTGGCTCTTGCTCTTCGAGAGGGCTGTGTTGGCTGCCAGAGAGCACTGTGATCTGCCCTGCCTCAGGTACAAGCAGGCACTGCATTTTCTGCAGAGACTTGCAGGGAGGTGGTCCAGGAGCACTTCCAGCATCACTGGTCCAGCAGCTGGGAATCCCCACGTGGCTGGTCTTGTCTCCACTACAGGTGGGTGAGCACAAAGGGCCTAGAACTAGCTGCAGGTTTGTACTGCTCCTGACTCTGGCCACATTCGTTGTACCAGCTACTTATTAGGCATACAATTGTTGGATACAGGAGGGTTTACAAGTTTAAAACCCTGAATGTATTCAGGAATAGCCCAAGGCAAGAAGGAGGCATCAGAAAAACAAATTCTAAATTGGGTTTGGGTGCTTGAAACTATCATCCAGGGGAAAAAAATACAGCACCCGTGTTCTTGCCCAGCTACTTAGATGGTCCACATACAGAGGTCCCACATAAATCCCAAACCCTTTGTTTTGCCATTTATGGTTCCCTGGAGTCATATTACAATAGCTTTGATTAAAACACAAACCAAGTGAGTAATTGCAGGCTTTTTAATTTTACAGTGTCAGTTTGTCATAGTAATGGATATGTTGGAACATGAAAGTCTCTTAATGAATTAAAGGAAATGCATATTTAAAAGAACTTAAAACTGCCCATGACCAGCAACCTCATACACTCACACAAAAATAAGAGGGGGAGAACAACTTTTCTTGTCAGTGATGCAAACTCCCGATAAAAATGATGATCAGTATGTCCTACTGACTGCAGCTCTCAAAGTGCCCTGTGGCTTCATTGAATGCCATTGAGCAGAACTTCTGTGTACTTATTTTGAACAGACCCTTCCATTCAAACATACCAATAATGATGCAAAAAGTTATTTTTACCAAAGTGTCAAACAGAAAATATAAAGAAATAAAGAATAAAAGACAATGCTGAGTTAATATTTTTTGTCCCCTCCAACACATTACATCTAATCTTAAAAGAAGTGATACTTACATCTTAGGGATGTTTGTTTTCCCTTCTGCATGTTGTTTAATGGTATCTCTATGCGTTTCACAAAAGACACAGTGAGAACCATATTGTAGGAGAATGAATAAGTCTAATCATGCTTGGATTACCTCTCTAATAAGCAGAATAAACCCAAGTATCATTGAGGAAACTGATTTTTTTTTTTTTTTTTTTTTTTTGATGCACACTGCAAACAACTAAGAAATCCGTTTTGAAACCTCTTGTAAATAGCAAAATACAGGACTAAATATTTGTTGTTCTTTAAAGGACAAAGAGCAGAGTAAAATAATCATTAGGAATTGCACAAATACTGCAACAGCTGTATTTGCTGGTAGAAATAATGGAGGGGCCCGCCCCCATTCCACATCTGCTACCAGTCTTTTAAAGCAACAATAGGAAACAGAAAAACCACGATGTCACTGTTACATTCATGCCATAACGTATTTATGTGTCATCGGCAGTACCGCTGGCTATTACTCATCAAGTAATATGTACCAGATTAAACTGAATTTAAAGCAGAGCACCACTTTTTCCTTCCATTTAATGCAGGAAAATTACATGCACATGTGTGCACAAAGAGTGGCAAATGCAGAAATGAATGCAAATTTTGTCCCTTTCAGGGAAGATATTTCTAGGCATTTGGAAAGGAACAGAGCTTAAAAGAATAAATAAATAGAAAGTGAAAGACTAGAAACAACGTATGCTTTTTCTACAAGGCAGGAGAAGAGTTTTCTGCATGGCCTCTCCCAGTGTCTCTTGACTCCTAAAGACTACTGGTTTTGGTGGTCTCCACTTGGTCATGGCAAAGCAATTTCAGCTGAAAAAGGCAGAAAATGGCAACACACTGAGCTGTTTAATGCAGCTAAAACTCTTGCCTAGACTTCCTTGGCAATTTGCCACTTTGTACTGGCAGAATGACTCAAATTTTTTTCCCGATTTTAACTTTAATCCTCAGATGTGACAAGCACCTGCAGTTCATAATGATTAGAATGTGGGAAATATTCAGTAACTCTCCTTTTCCAGCCCTGATATCATAAGCTTGCTCCACACACATTTTAATAGCTGCTAGTTTGCATTCATACACCAGCCTTTTAAGAGCGTATTCTACATTTTTGCTGGAGCTATGCAAGACAAGGCAGGTGGGCAATGGGTGGGGAATGGAAAATAACACATTTTTTGTTCCACATCTTCTTTCCATTGAGCTTCGCCTGCATGGACTAAGCATATTCCGTGAGGATGTCTTTCTGCTATTTTCTTCCACACCTGAAAGCCTTCTTTTTGG